GATGCTGGTTCGCAGGCCTGGCGCCTTTATATACTCCTCAGAGAGGAAATGTAGGTCGCGATAAGAAGTAACATTTACATTCCGCTTTTTAAGCACCTGTTGTATATAGCAATCGATATAAAGTATTGCACACATGTTCACGTACACACGCATTTGAATCTATATCTCAGTTTATATTTATATAAAATAAAGAAGATAAATAAGTGGGAGACTGGGATTCGATAGCCAATCGAGGAATTTTTCCAGTATAAATACATTTTTTCAGTGTGTATATATGTACAGAACCACACAACCACACACACGCACGTACACATACACATCCATATACAACTACACACACACACGCACACGCACACACACATAAATTATACAGTTCATTCTGCCTTTTCTGGTTTAAAGTTACTGCTCTCCAGTACCTAGGGATTATACTAAAATAGATTGATCATATCAACTTCAAAATAATTGCATTTGAAAAACAAATCAATCTAATTTGATTACCTCCCAGAAAAAAATGTATAGATATATGTAAATATAAATATTTTTCTACATATCTACTTGTATTAAAAAAACTGTAAATGAGTCCGTCCTCTAATCTGAGTCTAGAGATGAGATTTTAGAGTAGGCAAAATGTTAGCTTTTTTATTGATTTAGTGTTTATGACGATTTCACTTCAATCAGTCCTTCTAAACTAAAAGTATAGAATTTTCAGGGATCGTGACCAATATTAACTAAATATACAAATGAATATTGAAGTCGTAGATTGATTTAGTGAAAGAAATCACTCATATGATTTTTAAATTTTTCGATGAAAAAACAAAACGAAAAACAATTTACCAATCTAAGAGATAAACGAATTATGTTTCCTTATTTTAAAATAGAAACAGAGGAAAGGTGCGCGGCACGACCACCGGTAGAAATGACAGAATTAGTGAGGACTCTGAACAAAAGAATTGTGAAAAGACATTTAGATATTAATTAAATATATAATAATTTAGGTTTACTTTCAAATAAAAAATGTATTTCTCGGTAGTATAGTGGTTAGTATCCCCGCCTGTCACGCGGGAGACCGGGGTTCGATTCCCCGCCGGGGAGACGTTTTACCATCTGGACGACAACCTTAACATAGCTCACCGTACAGTTTACTTCGTTTCTAGTAAAGCATAAGGGGACAGTTATGATTGAGACGAAGTAAATATTTCCTTTACACGCGATACCATAAATAAATCTTTGTTACCAGATGCTTATTAAAATCCGTTTTAAACCTTTGTCTTATCTAAAACTTCTGATAGTTCGATCAGCATTGAATAGTGTAATGTTAAGGAAACCTAATAGCTTAAAGAAGTTTGTATCTTTTTATCATTTATTTTTACCATTGCCATTAAATCGCATGTCATAACATACATTATTTCACAGACTAAACTAACACTGGGAAAATAATTTGTTAGCGAAGATCTGATATCCCTGTAAAACTTTTGAGACTGCAGAAAAAGACACTGTTTTGCTTCATATTAAGTGATCTAATTATTGTTAATCTTGAGAACAGGTGGATCATAGAAGGGAAAAAGTTAATAGCTTCAAGTAACTCCCTTGTTTATTTTTCTTTTCCTTATATGAAAATTGCTTTTTATTCATTATTTCATATATTCACCGATTTGATGGCTTATTAATATTCGTAATAAAAATTGGTTTTAGGCTTGGTAAATTTGGCTCATTAGCAGCTGGTAATGTCTTGTGGTCTGAAATATCGAAATCTGAATATCATATATACTTTATACGTTGGCACGCAAAACCAAATGTGAAAAGGAAAGTTTTATTTTTTGTTTTTGTTTATATAGGTTTATCAGGATACCATATTTTTAGAAATACCAACAGAAGTTTGATTTAGATTTATTTATAACATATAACGTTACATAGCGTTATATAATGGGGCAGAAAAAATGGAGTAGGATAACAGGTAACAAGAACATGTTGAAGTTCAGGTAGAAAACATTACTGAGGTTGGCCGTAGTGGCGAGCAGGTGCAGCTTGTCCTTGGCTTAATGACTGACGCTGCTCTTCGCGGGCGCGAGCTTCGAGTTCAAGTCGTCCACGCTCGATCTGCTCGAGGGCGTGGGCGGGAATTGGGTGGGGGAATACAGGGGCGACGGGCAGGAAGGACGACTGAGGTTGGTAACCGTTAAGATCAGCGACGAACTGGAGATCGAAGACTTGGCCATCTGGGAAGGTGAAGCTGAAAGGAAACCATAGTTTGATATAGTTTCATATTTACACCCACATAGAGACGACTCTTACATTCATTGTCTTTTAAAGGCCATGTATATACAGGTTTACACACATTTATGTTTCAGTGTAATATTTTGAGAAGTGAATGAACTAACCTCACAGTTCCTGCTGAGCGCCACCTGGACCACCCGACTCGTGCCTGACGATGCCATCCCCAGTCTCCACGTCAAAGCTGTAGGTGCCGTCAGCGGCAGGATGGACTCGCTCGTCGCGGATG